TTTTTGAAAAGGTCAATGAGAAACAGCAGAAGTTGAAAAATATTAGTTGAAAGAAGAGTGAAGGTAGGAAATGGTAAAAACATAGTGGCAGTAACTGGCATCGGACCTTTGGGATTTATGATAGACATGCGTCGAACAGCATGAACCTATGATAATTAATCGTATATGGACACACGAGTACGCAGATACAACTCGACGTAAGAGTCCAAGGGACACGGCGGCAGTCCTCTTCGATCAATAGCTCGAGAAAGGGCAGTGGAAGCGTGAGCGACGACCACTGCTGTTTAGGCATCGATCCTTCTGTGTGCTACCTATACGAGTACTTACATTGAGTCAAAAAAGTACCTTGTACAATATTTGTGTTAGTACCTTGCGCTTGTATTAGTAGAGAAATACAGGCCTTTTTAAGTACTGAAGTCAAGTATTCTTTCAGACGGTTTAACAATATTATATCTAATTATAAGAATGAATTCTTTCCGATTTTTTAATATAGGTAATCAAAGCCTTATTTAAGAGGAATGAAAACAATTCATTTAACAAAATACTCTCCATTATTAGCATTAACCTTGTGCCATTATATATCTAACAGTTTGCGAATACCGTTAGTTGAAGTTATTCCAAGGGGATAAAATCGGCTTTTGAAAAAAAAATTTTTTTTTAATTATTAGTGTTTTAGTGTATAACGTTTTTATACTAACTATAAGTAATTGATAAATCCTTTATCAGACGATAATGTTCAAAAGGAACAAGTTTTGTCTGAAAACTTTTTTTTTATCTCTTGTAGTTTACAAATTCTAATACAAAATTTAAAAACAGCAATTTTCACGGATCGATTTTACCTCCTTAAAGTGAATTTAGGCAATAAAAAGATTACACCATATATAGTACTACATATTCCCCAAATTTTATAATTTTTTGAATTTTCCGGTTGAGGATCTTCCCTTATCAGATCGTTCTTAAAAATGTACAAACATGTAAAGAAATACGTGAGTCACTATATTTTTTGTATATTTCTAGTTATTACCTATCGTTAATGAAAAGGACTAACGAAGAAGAGGAATGTCAGAAAGCGCGGAAATGAAACGGGGGCAACGCGATTCATCATCAACCAGGGTTCTGAAATCATTCGATCTGTCCAGCTAGGGCAGTGGAATTATTTTATTCTGGAATTATGTGCATGGTGCACAACTGCACCGAAGGCTGCTTTAATCTCGCTGTACAATCGTGTCGCAACGTTTTATCGCCCTTCCTGCCATCGTAAATGCCGTCCATTTTCCCTGCTCTTTCTCTCTTTCCACATTCATTCGCACTTGTCATACAGACCAGTTTTAACGCCAACAGTGCCGCAAAAGTTCCGGTACCTCCGTTCATCATTTTTGTTTTTTTCCCCTCACCGATTGTGAAAACCGATTTTTTTCGGTTTTGTTACGAACACGCAACCTTTAAATCGATAAAAATCTTATCGATAAGGACTCGCGATCGTGAGAGACTTTGATAACGACGCGTGTTGTTCGATACTCGATTTCAATGGTTCTTCATGGCATCGATTTGTTGAAATAACGAGCCCGTTAGAGAAATTAAGATATATGTACAGTAATAGCTGGATATATGCAACAAAAGTTTGGCTGGATATATGCAACATCGCTATCCCCTCCACTTGGGGGGATCCCCCTAAGCCGAACCGAGCCGCTCGGCGAGGAAACCGTGTAATATGATCCGACCGTAATATCGGTGTGACTAATACTAATTGAACGATCAAACTTTTTTATTTTTAACTTTTTCTTAATGAAACTTTTACTAACGCATTTGTGAGATTTTTCTGATTAAAATGGTATCAAACACGATATGATTTGAATTATATTTATTTATTAAAATAATAATAAAACTGTACATATGTATAAGGCAGGCCGTACACCAAAGATACATCAAACACGCAACATGCAACATGCAACACGTCGCATGTTGTGTACGAACGTAGAATAGGTATCGCGGCACGGTACAAACGATTTGTACGGACGCAGAATCGACACCAAGACCGGATATATGCAACGTTTAAATGCCCATAATCGACACCAAGACCGGATATATGCAACGTTTAAATGCCCATAATCGACACCTCGGCTGGATATATGCAACATTAAATGCCCAGCATCGACACCTCGGCTGGATATATGCAACATTAAATGCCCAGAATCGACACCTCGGCTGGATATATGCAACGTTTAAATGCCCAGAATCGACACCTCGGCTGGATATATGCAACGTTTGAAACCCGAGCCGACACCGCAACCGGTTTTCATTTCCAATCCTCATTTGCTTTTTGCCATCTTTTAACATCAATTTTAGTAAGTAATTATAATTCAAACTATATCGTGTTTGGTATCATTTTAATCAGAAAAATTTCATCAATGCGTTAGTAAAAGTTTCAGTAAAAAAAAGTCAAAAATAAAAAAGTTTTATAGTTGAATTAGTATTAGTCACACCGATACGTTTCGGCTCTTTCCTTTGTTCATCGGACCTCTCTCTTTCCACCACTGTCTGTCCTTTTCTACGTTCACGCTTGGCTACTCGTCGCATGTAACCCGAGATTAGACACCTCGACTGGATATATGCAACGTCTGGGTCCCAATGTTTGTTGCATATATATCCAGCTTTTACTGTAGAGGGTGTTTCACACACCTACATATGCCACATCAATGTTTTAATTCTTTGAGGGAGGAAATTTTAAACAATAAAAAACTCCATGTTGCACAGAAATTTTATTCTTATAAAATTTAACAAATTAGGTTTATTTTAATTGATAGAGAAATAAAATTACACAACATTTGTAAAAAATTAAAAAAACATTTAATTAATTAATTAATTAAATGGAACACAAACAGCCCCACCGTGCTATATGACTTTATGAATGGTATTGATTAAAACACATTGGTGAACTCAGTGAACTGTTGAAGTAGGTGGGTCTCAATATGAACCTATGTGTCAAGTAATTTTAATTTTTCAAAGTGGTATAAAAAACATCCCCCATGCATATTTAAGTACAAAATGGTGGGAAATTTTTAACTTCACTATGCTTCAAAGAGTTAAAACGCTAGAAGATAAAAAAACATCCATTTTGTGAAATTAACACATTGAATGCGGTGAAAGTCATCGACGATCGGCATCGCAAATAATAAAAAGAGAAAACAATAGAAAAATAGGTGAAAGTAAAGAAACAGAACCGCCTCCTAAAGATAATCATATTTCTACAAATACTACCAACATATTTATAGTCTTTATGTCCTTAGTATAATAAATCTTCAAAAATGGCGGAGTTATCTCTTGGGGTCAGTTTCAGAAATCGGTACAAACGAACCCCTTGGGGTACAAACGAAAGTGAAGGTGATACGAACGGGTATAAACGTTTCTTTTTTTTATGGCGTTGAGAGAAATAAAAAATGTTAATTAAAAAAATAATATTAAATGCTACAAATATTATTTGTTTATAATTTGCTTTCCATGTCTTAATAACTTATCCAAAATTCTAAAGTCCCCTAATATAAAATAATAAATACTATATTATGCAACATAAACATTTTGGTAATAATATCTTTGAACTTATTAGCTCAATAGCTGTATTAATCATCGAAGACCACGAATATAGCGCCGAACGTGTTGAGGAAAATTTTTATTCTTAGAATGTTCTTTTATATATATTTTATTATATAACTACACTTAGAATATTAGAAAAAGATACAAATATATATATATATATATATACATATATAAGTAAGTCTTTAGGATAGTAATAAAATGAACCATATTTGTGTATTATAAGAAAAATGAAGAATGGATCCTTAATCGATTACACTTATTAAACGCAGGGGAAGCGATAACACGCAGTAATCCATCTTGTCACTAACGTACCAAAAAAAAAGAAACTAAAGAAACGGAAATCATGAGCGCCATCTGCAAGGCTTATCTTTAAATTTACTTAAATCTAACATTTACTAACTCAATTTTTTCCTGAAGAATGTACTAGGCGGTGGCACGATTAAAAATAGACGCTGCGAGACAATTCAATTTTGTCCGATTATCAAGAACAGTGTAGTTAATAGAAGTGCGACAAGATTAAAGTATCCCATGCTACGCGGCGGACTAATGAAAATTCGGCTCGTTATTCAATATTTCGACACATTCAATTGCCGGAATGAAAAAAAGAATCACGTAATTAAATTAACGCGGCTTTCGTTCAACGTGCTCGTGATTCAATCGAAACACATGTTTAATCAACGCGTAGGCACACACGGTTCAGCAAATGGTAGGATGATCTTAAAATGAAGAAATACCAGAAGGCATTTTCTTTTATCAGAAAAATATTTATGACAATATTTTTAATGAATTCTTTAATAGATTTATTTTTTTTTATTTCAAATAATTAATTTTATCATTATATTATTTATCAATAAAAGAATTTCCGTTTTTTAGTTGCTTCGAATCTAAATAATTATATTTAATGAATAATAAATTATTCTTGATAATAGAGAAATCAGTGTTGAATATACACCTGGCTTTAAATTGGAAATGAATAAATAATGAAAAATTAATTAATACAATAGCTCTATAAATAAATCTTCTATGTATTTTAAAACGTATTTCTGTAGCTAAGTTATATCTACAATTGTTAATTAATGTGAAATGGCCATCATAAAATTTAAAATTCTTATAAAGAAAATTCAAAAATATTGTAATTAAATTTAACAATATATCACATTTAAAAAGCATCAAATTCAAAGTTTAAAGCAAATATTTCCGCAACAACTACATCTCTATAAAAAACTTAGTGAAACTTACACATACATTATAAATTGCATTCCTTATTGCACCCAAGTATTCAGTTTGCGGATACTGCACCGTTGTATCGGTTTATCGACTATCTCTGTACAGTTGTTTAACAGTCACCACAAGGGTAGGTGATTCATGAATACATAAAGCGAGGTTATTACCGTTTGAACACTTACCTCTATGACTTCCGGTGATCTTGTCCCGCAAGATGTTTATCTGATGTACACGGCCGAACTCTTCGAAAAGTTTCCTTAGGTCGTTCTCGTCCATGTCATGTGGCACCTGACCCACGAACATTTTTATGTTGTCAGGATCCGGCTGTTCCACACTATTATTGTTCATTATGCTAAAACATACCAAGAAAATTTTATGAAAAATCGAGTTTTGTTAAATTATAATAAATCATGTAAAATATTTATAGAATATTGTGTGCTAATGATTAGAATTAAGACAGAAATATTTACTATGGAAACATAAATCTATAAATATGTATTTTATTGAAATGATAGGAAACAAAATTTATTTTTTAATTAGATAATGTCTTGAAATAGTATTTTTCAATTGTATTATTTCGTTGAGTATTTTCTGGCTAAATTTGAAATAAAGAAATAACGAAATAGTTATTATTTTAAGATAATCAATATTTTCTATATTTTCAAATACCATTACTAAACATAACAAACCAAAATACTATTTCAAATATCAATATTTAATTTTAATTTAAAATAAAATTTACCTAGATTTAATTGACAATAATGAAGAATATTTCAATGATCGAACTATTTTCATTTTTTTTTTATCTTCCTTTTAATATCTCAATAGAATTATAAATTTTTATAAACTTTTGTAGATACAAAAAATTCAAGTTATAGAGGTTGTACGTTTTTAAAACACTACAACGAAAATATAATTGTCTGGACGCGTAATCATCCACTTCAAAGGTCTCCCCTTTAACGATATTATTGGTATTACACACGCGTAGAACGTGCTCTTGAAAGCATGATACATACTTATAAAGTCGTTGGATTAACAAACATTTTCATCTAGCCAAGCGTACTCGAAATCGGCTTCCCACGATATCCGTTTTAAGAGCTGTGTGCGCTCACGCGCAGATCTCATTACGAGGACGATGAAAAAGCTTAAGCGTTCGATCTGAGTACAGTGACACGAAATGAAAAAAGAAATTCAAGCAAATGTGTCGTATCTGTATCATGTCTCTGCTTTTGTATTTAGCGACGAACTCGTAACGAGTCGAATCATCGTTTCATCTCCAATTATTATTTCTAGTACCACGAGTGGTACGCTGAATAACACCCCGGGAAACTGAATAGAGTAGACAGGGATAGGAATTAACAAGTTGAATATTTTTCAATTTAAAAATAAAGCAATTTTGTGCAAATCAATTATTTGTCGAAATGTTTGAACGATGAATAGTGTTAAGAGTAAATAGTTTACAACTGTTATTAGTTATTTTGTACTATTGGTTAAGCTTTATTTTGGGACAAATAAAATTATTGACTTTTTTATATATTTTAATAGCATTCGACGAGAAAACTTCAAAAGTGCAAGTTTTGAGTCTAAGAATCCATGTGTTCAAAAGTTGTATGTATCTAAAATCATGTATGTAAAACTGAACGTCTTCAGCGTACTTTTGAGGTTAATTTGACACTACATTGATTTCTATCTATAATCTGATTGGTCCGCGGAGACAAGAACCTAACCTAACCTACCACGTACAAGACACATTGAGACAAGTTCTTCTCTATTGCTCGGTAATAGTGAAGATTTCTCTGAGTGAGATCAAACGTGATTGATATTTTCGCTTCCAGTCAAAAATAATGAGTCCGAAAGTCCAAAAATAGATTTTCAGGAGATCTTTCAATGCTGATTTCATAACTGGTATTCTTCTTATTCTAAAACGAAGTTTTTTTCTTTAAACTTTTTGATTTTTTATCATTTTAACCGGTCCAGACCGGAAGTCGAAATACTCGTCATTTTGAAGATTTTTTTATACTTATTCTAAATATCATATTCATTTTGAGATCTGACATGGTCAGTATTTTTCCTTTCGGTTTTGTATCACTTTCGGTTAGAACGGGAAGTCTATGGCTTCATACTATGAGGAACATATGTAATAGCGAAAACCGTTTCTGTTTATCTTTTACCATTTTTGCTCCTCAGAAAAATAGAAAGCTGACGATAGAAAGAACGTCACACATACATGGCTTCAACTGCGTAACCTCGAGATACTGGCGGAATGGGGATACGCTCTCCGCCGCTTGGTTCGGTTCACGCTCCGCTTCGAGCTCGCCGCCAAGATCCGGAGCGCTCCGGAGCGCTTCGACTCCGTTTACTACTAGTTGGCCATGCCTGTGACTTACAGGCATCGATTTCGTTCATTGGACGAATTATGGATAGAAGTCAGTGTGGTGTCAAAATAACCTATCAAAATACGTTAAAAACGCTTAGCTTTAGATATACGTAACTTTTGAACAGGTAAATTCCTCAAGTTAAATCTTATAATTTCTCATTTTTTGTTGTTGAATACTATAAGAATACATGTAAAAAAGTTAATAACTTCATGTGCCCCAATGTAACATTTAGCCGTATTATTTGAAATAACCAAATATTTAGTAAATAAGTCATTTGTAAATAATTTGTTTTTCAAATAAGATTTTGAAATGTATTTAAAAAAAATGTTATTATTATTTTATTTGGCTGTTGCGAAGTAATAGGGAGATAATGAAGATTTTAAGAGGGATATCCGGAAAACGTTAATGTTTAGAGAGTAAATCGTTAATTAACAGTGGCGTCGATTGAATAATAGCCGCATAGTGGGCACCAAAGCCAAAGGCTAAACCGCGAAAAACAAAATTACCGAAGCTTCGATGTCGCGGTGTTCTGGCCATTATACCGAACGATACCAGATAATGAACACAAACAGGAAACAAAATTATCAACGCCTCTGTCGTTTCAACTTTATCTCATTAATTATTATGCACTTAACGTTGCAACAGAGTGGCGCAGCTGGCGTGCTTCGGCGAGCAACTTTTGACTTCCCTAGTTGCATGCTCCGCGACCGAAGATGACTTTTAAACTTTGGAGATTTATAGTCGCGGCCTGGGAGCGAGACAAGAAAGACCTGGCCGAGACAGCAAGTTTGAGGGGGTGGCAAGAGACTTTGTCGGTGTCAAACCAACGAACCGACTCACTATTTTAACGACGAACTTTATACAAGCACGATTTTACAGCGCAACAAACTGTCGCATCTTTCGCTTCGTAGGAAACATCAGAGTAATGTCACAAGTCTAATACCTACATGCTTGATAAACAAAATTTTTTCTACCTAAATATCGTGATAATGTAAAGTCCAAATTTTTTCGTTCCTGTTCATTCCCAGCAACGTCTCTTGAAATTTGAGGGAACTTTAAAGAAAAAAATTTTTAATTTCTTAAAAGGGAAATCAATTGACCTTTCAGATCCCCTCTAGCTGCGTTACTATTGAATACAATGTTTTATTTTTAACATTTCTGAAAAGTTTCAAACAGCTCAGAAATTTTGTATGAACAAATTATAATTATTATCTAGAATAGAGCAAGTCCTTTAGTTTTATAGCAAATTCTCGTTATATTGCCGCGGATCGCGCTTAAGGGGCCGACAATTTGTCAAGCTTCCAAGCTCTTATTTGGAGAACGGAGAGGAGATAGAAATGTATTAGATATCTTTATAGTTTACGATATTGGAAGAGCAACACTAGTACTCAAAATTTGAAATTTCCTGTGGAGGTCAAATCGCTAATATGGCAAGATAATAAGAGTCTATTGTATTAAAAATGTGAAATGTCCAGTGCGGCCTGACACTTTGCGATTGTAAGAAATATTTAATTCTATTCAGATTATACTAACTACCGAATATTTTTCTATTTATTCCAATAATTTATGGGTAAAAAGGGAAGGACTCTCCCCCCAACCTTAACATCCGGAGCCATGTATTTATTGGAAAAACCGCATATAGAAAATAATGTAAAAAAAAGGTCCTAATTTATTCCAATCTTGCTTATCTCTTAATAACCAATATACTTTTAATTTGAAACATAGTTGTTTGTGGTCAGGCGGTTGTATTAAAACGCTGTCCATGTGGTGAGCTACAGTTTTCCTACCGCAAGCTCAGACGAAGCGATTGGAATGATACATCAGGCGGAAAATTATGAGAAACATGGTCAGACAGCGGACAAGATAATCCGTTTGTACGAAATTGAGGGTTCCTAGAAGCGGGTTCCCGCGAGGACGATTTCAAACGCATATAATCCGAACGAAGTTACCGCATGTCCGGCGAAAATGGCGCATAAGTTTTAAAAGCGTCTGGGTACAAGAGGACCCCGGCTAAATAGGTACACCAACGAGGTAATTAAACATAGCGCGGTCTTTTGCTGTGGCACACGTTTGAACGGGATAAATTTATTCTCCTCCTCGTTCCCAGAATGTGATCAGTCTGCGTAAAATTCGACGTTAACCCTCCCGGGACCAAGCACCCATCCCTGGGACTCGGATTAATTTGATACTGGCCATAAAAGTAGATGAAATGTACATTTTACAGGGGCAAATATTTATTCTGCTACACACGCTGATGCCTAAGTGTTTACGCAAACATGAAACTGGATGGCTGTTGTTAAGTAATGAATACAGCGGCCCGTATTAATATTCGAATATCATGATATTTAAATAGTTATTGCTTGATATCTTCATTTATAATTATGTTAGATAAATAAAATCTCATATTTTCAGTTTTATGGATATTTGATAAAAAAAATGTTTAATTTGCTTTCATAAGGAAATATTATGTTATTTCATCAAATATTTTCTTTAAAAACAAATTAATTTAACAGAAATAAATCTTTACTTTCAATTTGCACCACTGATATGTGGATTTCTTTAAGATACTATACCGTAATATCTATTTTCTTTCAAAATTCAAAATGTCATCTATTTTGAAAATCTTTACCTGTACGTAATCAAATATTATCAAGGTATCCGAAAAACTAATCATTTTTATTGTGAGATTATATAAAATAAAATTAGCTATGGACGCAATAGGTGCAAATATACGAGGTACAGCAGACTCACAGGGGAGTTCCATTTTAAATTTGAAGGTCTCTTTAACACAGTGACATTGTACATCTAAAAATAATCTTACTCATTAGCTACTGCATTAATAGAGCTAAAATATTAAAAAATGTCATGGTGTGAAATATTTAAGTTACTATAGTAATGTATGTACATTTATTTAATTCTGTAACCAGTTTAAAGTGGAATACTGATCATATAATGTGTGATAAATATATCTTAA